ACTGTCAACATCGACGTTAAACTAGCTTGATAACTTGAAGTCAGAACTAGGACAACAAATACCCATATGATCATCACGAACCTTGATAGATTGCTTAGTATCTTCTCTTCTGCAAACATCAAAATAATGTCTCTCAACTTCATTTGAATAATTCTCTTGATGATTCAGTCCTAGTTTTTCATTTAATTTTCAGCCCTGCACACATACCATACCTAACCCGAACCCATCCCAGAGTTTTCAGGTTGCATTAGGGGTTCAACTGCCCGGGTCGGGTTAAGATTGACCCTAACCCCTCCCAACAAGCACCCCTAATGGGCAAATCCTGAATAGGCTGGCTAGACCCATCAACACTTGGTGCTCAAAACTTGAATGTTAGTTGAGTTGGGCTTGCCTATAGGCCTGGCTCAAAAATCATTTTAACCTATTCTTCATTTAAGTGGGGTTTTGGTCTAAAGTAGTATTTTTCACCTCTAACATTGGGGTTCTGTTTGTTTTCCATTATTTAGTAGGGGTAAGTTGATTAATCGAGTAATTGACCATGATCCATGCCGCTATATTGGGTCCCATGGTAAGCGACAATTCCAGAGATGTAATAGATACCCTTCTGGAGGGTGGGTAAGAAACTTACCCATGCTAAATTGACGCTCCCACCATCCTGCCCTCTCCCTTTATCGGGGTGACCTGTACCATATACGAATGCTAGAACCGAACTTACCCAGGTAAACTTTACCCAGGAAACACTTGCCCGAATAAACTTACATACCCAGATAGGTGAAAACAAACAGGGCCCAGGAGTTAGCTCAGAAGGGAGGTGGGAGAAGGGGCATTATTTCTTTAAGTAGTAAAGAAGTAGAGAGGAATTACTGTGAGCAAACACAAGCGTTGAGAAGGAAAACCAGATGACCATCCCAACTTGTCTATGAGGTGGGCCCCTGAAATCAACATTAATACGGTGCTCAAGAAGCCAGATCACTAAGCCAGTGATGATGAAGAAGGCTCCAGTTGTCAGCCAAAGGTCCATCTTCAGAGGCTTCAAGAAGATCCATGCGCTCTTCCTCTCATCACCTTTAATTGGTACCACCATTGACACCCCGGACTCTGTGTAAGGCAACGTAAAATCCACGTATAGTGTTCGGTTTGCTAGAATTGTTGTATCTCCAATTACTGCATCAAAGTCCTGTGTTTTAACAACATTGACATGTTAWGATATCTCATTGTGCATAAAATTTAAACCATTTCATAAATATATACATYTAAAGAAGTTGAAAAACAGAAAAAGCAGAATGAACTAGAGGTCTAAAGAAGTAGAAAAGCMGAAAGATATGTATACCAAAGATTATTGCTTATTGTTTTTGTTTTTGGTGGTCCTTTTCTGTAACAGAGATTGGGCATTTTTAAGTTCATCAAGCAGGTTGTAACAGTAGTGGGGAGTACACCCATTGATTGATGGGAAACGGTTAACCAGAAATAATCTTATTTCAGGTGAATAATGCCTTTTGAGCCTTGATCTCTTGTCTTGGTCTTTGTTTCTGATTTKGGCACTTATGTATGGTTCCTGATCAGAGATCAAGTGTCACACCTTCTGTTAAAGAAAATTGAACAAGTAACATGATTTAATTGGAAGAGTAAAGACAATTGCCTAAATTATACCAACCTGAAGGTAGACTTGTTCGACTAGATCGTTGTAACTCCACGTTCCTGTCCGATTATTGTTGACCTTCTTAAAGGGAACAAACTTATAGGGAACTGCATATGGCAGTAAGTCAATTACAGCCTTGAACACATCTATACAAAAGCCAGTGACTATTGGAGCGTTAGTGAGAGAATCTGTCTCCACCTTTACAAACTCAAAGAGACCATCCTTAACAGGAACTCCAATCTTCAACTTCTTACCACTTGTGGACAATTCCCATCCCTTTGGCACCTCTGATGTGTCTCCAGGCCATACAATGGCTCCTAGTTCATCCTTGAAAGTTGAGTACATTTTCTTGTCATGAGGTTTATTTAGCTTCCTAGAAATCCCATGGGTAGGAGTCCAGAATCCTATTTCCTTCTCCCCCTTTCCAACCACATTTACTATCTTGAAGGCTGAATTAGATGGCTGTTCCCCATTAACTAGGTGAAATTTTCCACTTAAACCAGTAAATCTAGTCCTCCTAATGGCTTGAAGTAATTTTGGACCAACTTGGGATACTCCAATATCTAGTGGATCACTGGAGTTCTTTCTTGTGTCCAGTTTCTTGAATCCTACATTCATGTAGCCAACTTGCTCAGCTGCCATTGCAAGTGCCCAAGTGCTGTCATATGCCCATAACCCAAAAAGATCCAATTCGACTCTATCGATATCCGGGTTGTCCTGGCGGAATTTTCTTTTCCATCTGGTCTTAAAGTTCTCAAGCTGCTTGGAAACTGGAACATATGGCTGTACACCTAACACTCCTTGCATTGAGTCTATGACAGATGAATCCAATGAAGCTAAGATATTTGTAAGCTCATAACTGATGATCCAAGCAAAGCCTTTGTCCATCATCCCAGCTTCTTTTGCCTTCAAAAACAAACGAGAGGCAATAGATGAAGACATGTGCACCACAAATACTCTGGTTTGCATGGTCTTTAACTTGTAGAGCTCTTTAAGAATTTGATCATCCGTCGCTGAAGGCGAAATGACACACCGATATGGGACATTGACATTGATCACTTGTAAGGCATCAGTCAAAAAAGGTACAATCCCCCTTCCATACTCTGTATCTTCATAAATGGGTACAACCTCCCTCCATCCAAAGGCTTGGATGATTGCTGAAATAGGTTTTACTTGAGAAGAGTCACTTTGGGCTGTTCTAACAAAATAAGGAGTTTCAAT